AAGATTTTCTCAAGTTCCAGTTTGTCAGTTGTGAGGATTTACTTTATCTTTTTTAATAATAAACTAAAAGTGTCTGAGACTTTAATGTTGGTTGGACAAAACAAAACATTTGAAGATGTCACCATTAACATCTTCAGGACATGCATTTCTTATTATTTTCTTTTGTACAGACCAAAGAATTAATTGATTATTTTAGAAATCAACCTGCAGATAAATGGATAATGATTATTGCAGCCCTAAAAGTACAGTATATCACATAGCAGCAATACGGGAAAATACACAGTATATATTTTGTGTATAAATACAATCTACATAAAAAAAGAAGATAACATAAAAGGATACAGGAAAGAAAAATACAATTAAGTAAAAATCAGTGTTTAATGTTGAAATGAAAAAACATCTGAAAAATAGTAGCTGTGGCAGCAGTAGTAAAAAATGGTTCCAAAAATGAAATAATATTAAATGACAAAAATAAAGAGATAAAACAATCGATTAGTGGAATGACAGAGAATTAACTGGCAAACATGACAGATATTCTCAAGTTCCAGTTTTTCAGTTGTGAGAATGTGCTGCTTTTCTTTGTCTTTTGTGATAATAAACTGTTAAATGAAGTGTTGAGGGTTTTGACTATTGGCAGACATTCCATGAACATCTTCAGGACATGCATTTTTCCTTATTTTCTCTTTTACAGACCAAACATGACTTGATTGTTGAAATGTTTGTTTAGAAATTAACCTGCAGATTAATGGATAATGATTAATGCAGCCCTAAAAGTACAGTATATCACATAGAGAAATACTGGAATATACACAGTACATTTTTATGTATATATACAATCTAAATAAAAAAAACTTTGATCTGTGCAAGCTCTGCTATATTGTTTTGTATACAGTATGTCAGATGTCAATAAATGTCACATATTATTAGCTTACAGAGTGTGAACATGCCCTGCATGAGCCTCCACTAGGTTAGCTACAGTAGGAGTTATCTGGATAGGAAGCCTCCCACAGTGTGATGGCCCTAAACAGCATCTATACTATCATTCACACACGGCCTCTGTGCTTATATGTCTGATAAATGAGAGCAGTGGCTGGATGGAATCTTTGCAGCTAATTGTCTTTAGGTATCTAGCCAGTGTACACGTAACCATTACAAATGCAGTGAAACAATATGCACAGCCGTGTCGGGTCGATTGTGATCAGCATGTTTCCAGAGCTGATTGTCACTGCAGCACTTTCTTCAGGCAGATTTGAGGTATGACGCAACAAAACACAAAATACCTGAGGCAATTTCAAACCATAAGTGCACTAATGCACCTCTACTGCTGATACATTGCTGACCTACTGCTGGATTTCTATAAACAGAGGCATGAATATATATTTTTACTTTTCAAGTTTTTCTGTACTTGGGGACTAGCCTTCTCAGCAAGAATTTGACATACATAATTTGGAAAAAAAAATGTTTACAATTTGAATCTGTATAAAACATATTGTGACAGAATGTGTCAGATATATTAAGATTTTGACAGGTTAAGAAAATTAGATGCTTATTTTCCCTGTGTAAGAAACACTTGAAACACGTGGTTACACATATAATTTCTGTGGGTAAAAAAACAGCTTCTTAAAATAGCTGCATCTGTATTTAACACCGTTTATATTACTGCCTTCTTTTCTTTTCTCTGTTCTTTCAGAGGTTGATCAGGTTGAATGGGAAACCATCTTGTTTGATGCTCGCTAATCCACTCTGATGTCATTAGCTTCCTATTAACTGGGTGTGATTTCTAGTTACAGTGGATTTACATTGTGTCATTTTCCATATTTTTCTTCCCAAGCTCTTATTTGCAGAGAAAAGGCCATTATCTGTACCAAACTTCACCTCTGTAATTTCGAAAATGAATTCTCCACCCTCCCTGTCGTCTTCCAATTACTTTTCTCATTCAGCCTGGATTTCATGGTCACTTCACGGTCGCACGCATGTCTCTTTTCTCCTTCGTCTAACCACCCTTTCTCGCCTGTCAAGGAAATGCAGCTACATGCAGGCTCAGGCGGGTGTTTGCACAGTTTCGCATTTGTGTGTCTGTTTGTCTTTCTGGGTGTTTGTATATGAATATGCATGTATTTGTGTGCCTGACTAGTAGGATACCATGAAGTCGCGGTATGCGACCACTCAAAATGACAATAAGTCATTATACTTCTGATAAATGAGATAATACACCGCAGTGTGATGATCAGGGGAGGTTGGACCGGTGTCACCGGAGGAATTAACAAGAAAAAGTTTGGTCTGTGTGTATGTGTACACAGATGTGTGCTTCAGCGACCTTGAGAAAAACACCTGCGTGGGTGGAATGTGATTTATATGCATTCTAGATCTCGTGATTGACCCCCTAGGCTTTCTCCACTTTTCTTCATCTATCTCTCATTGTGTGTCCTTTCTCCTCCTACACAAGTAACATTACACCTACAAACTACTATCAAGTCCTTCTAGTGTAATTACTACACACTCAGACACCTGTTAACTGTGTAGCACTATACATGGGGGATATTATATTGATATATTTAATCCTATATCTGTAAACTCAGCTATATACACTGAGTTGCAAAGTTTGGCACTGCTTTTAAAGTAATAGTTCAAATTTGCTTCCTCACTTTCTTTACAAGAGTTAGATGAGAAGATCAATAATGTGGGTTATATACATAACTGGAGCCAGGAAGCGATTAGCCTAGCTGAGCATAAAGTTTGGAAGCAGGGGTTTAAGGTTTTAGAGTTAAGTGTTTAAGCTATAAGCTAGTCGCACCACTAGCTTCAATGTGTGACTCAATGTCTAATTCATCATTTTTTTTCGTGTCTGCTTGAAAACATAAGGTGACATTCTGTTATTACAAATGTCAATGCGATTTGAAATCCCCCCAGGCATTGTGACTTCACAGATTATTGTTATTACATATAGAGGCTGGCTATAGCTGGAGAAGTATGCTGATGGGTAAATCGATGTTCATCAAGTTTTTATTTTTGTTTGAGATTTTCTAGGAATTACACAAACAATATAAAACTTGATCATTTGTGAACGTTATAGGTGCTGGCAGGCTACTGTTTTTCCCTTGCTTCCAGTCGTTATGCTCAGCTATTGCCTCCTTGGGCTCTGCACAAACAAAGGGTGGTATCAGACATCATCATCGAACTTTGGAAAAGAAACGCAAATGAGAGTGTTGCCCCAAATTTTTAATAATCATATCCTTAACCTCTATCATATGTACTCAACAGACATGCAGTGCACACACACAAACACACA